TTTTTGAGAGCTTGATTATTATATGTCTTGGAGATTTTCTTTTGGGGTCTATCCTTCCTGGAGTACGTTGGGCTTCTTGAATGTTTATCTTCTCATCTTTCAAGATGTTAGGGAAATTTTCTTCCAGAAGCTCTTCAGTGATCTCTTCTGTGGATTTCTCTGTTTCTTCTTGTTCCGGAATGCCAATAATTCTTACGTTATTCCTCTTCATGTTATCCAGCATAAATCTTAGACCCTCTTCAGATTGTTTTATCCTTTTAGCTGCTTGTTCATCTACCTTGGTAGTATTGAGAGATCTGTCTTCCAGCTCACTAGTTCTGGCTTCCATCTCTTCTAGTTTGCTCCTTTCCCCTTTCAGGCTATTGCCTATTTCTGATATCTTATTATTGATCACCTGGGCATCTTTTGGCAGGTTTTGAATTGTTTCCAATGCTGTGTCAGTCCTATTTGATTGTTCCTGGAGATTTTTTTTTTTACTTCTTCCTTATTTTCCTCGACCCTTTTTCGGATTATTTGAATTTGTTTCCATATCATTCTTCTGAATTCCCTCTCAGGCATATCCATAAGCCATTCCTCCTCCTCTATAAAGCCTTTGTCTGTCCCCAGTTCATTTGTGTTAGCTCCCCTCTTCTGTTTTTGGACATGCTTTGATAAAGTTGATTGTTTCTTATTGGTCATGGTTATTGTTTTATTATTATTATTATGATGATGATGATGATGATGATGATCACGAGATGGGCTTCTCTTTTCGTCTGTAATGCGTAGCAGATGTTGTTGGGTCTTGTCTAAGTGGTGGAGTATTATGTTGTAGCTTGGCTATATGGCCACGATTGCTTATGGGACGTAGGGAGGATAAGTTCCCACCTCCAGGAGGGATGTGTAATCCAAAGGACTAAAAGCAGAAATAATGTAAATGCATGGACAGAAATCACCACATTGGAGCAGATATGTGGCTTTGGTTAACTTTTTCTGTTCCCAGCCCGGCCAGAACAGCTGCTGGAGGATCCCCGCTGCTAGCTAGGAGTGGGGGCAGGTGGCTTAGATGCAGGACAGATGGGGGATGATAGATGATGTCAAAAAGTCGCCGCCGACTTTATCACACTCTCCGTGCGTGGGTGAGCTGCACCCGGCCAATTTTTATTGGGATATCAAGCGGGGGCAGGGTAAGTTAGGTCGCCTCTTGCACCTCGGGCCGACCCTGGCCCCGCCCTCTAAACTCTGCAGTCGCAAGAGCGACCCGTGGACCCGCAGGCAGGAGTCCCAAAATATGCGTCTTTCTTTTTCCTTATTAGCGTGATTTCTCAAAAATGTGAGTTCAGGAGACTTTATGATAGTTTAAAAGCCGTGGGACTGGTATATGACTGTTTCCTTTGTGAGATCCCACTCGTTTTTCCCTGGAGCCCATCCCTACCTTACTTCCCTGGCTGTCCTGCCATACCGGAAGCCTAGAGTGATTCATTTTTAATAGAAGGTTATTGTTTTAATTTACTTGGATCCACTCAGTGCTGCTTCTTTGAGTATTGATAGTAAATCCAAACAAAATAAAAACAGTAGACTAGAACTATAGATGTTGAAAGGAGAGAAGGGTGTTCCCCAGAGCCAACAGAGAGAGAAATCCTTCCAGTAGAACCAGCATTCTAAGTTTGAACTAGCCTCCTGAATTGTTAGAGCATAAATTTCTGTTTTTTAAAGCCATCCACTTGTGGTATTTCTGTTATAGCAGCACAAGATGATGAAGACAATCATGTACACATTATGGGTTCGCTAAATGCACAATGTCATGTGTCCACTATTGTAGTATCATGTAGAATAGATCATTGGCCTCAAAATCCCCCACCCTTTCTCCCCATCTCTAACCCCTGCACAGGCAGTGATTTTTTGTTTGTTTGTTTCTGTGTATTTTTGCCTTTTCCAGAATGTCAAATACTTGACAGTGTGTAGCTTTTTCAGACTTTCACCAGTCATTTTTGCAATATGTATCTGCAGTTCCTCTATGTCTTATCATTTTGTTATTATGAATAATATTCATTTTATGGATATACCACAGTGTGTTTATCCATTCATCTTTTTAAGGGTGTCCTGCTTGCTTTCAGTTTGGGACAAACTGCATACACACATTTGTGTAAAAGTTTTTGAGTTAAATAAAAGTTTTACATTTGTATGGAGCACAATTGCTTAATGGTGTGGTAAAGCTGTTTACTTTTGTATGAAAGTGGCAAACTATTCCAAAGTGACAGAATCCTTTGCTTTCATATCAGCCATGAATGATGATTCCTATTGCTTCACATCCTTGTCAATATTTGGTATTGTCAGTTTGTTTGTTTATTTTAGTTACTATGATAAGTGTGCCCTGGTGGCACAGTAATCAACTGCCTATCTGCTAACTGAGAGGACTTTAAACAATATCACAGCTAATGAAGACACTTTTATGGAATGAATTGTAACCAGGAATGAGTCTTGGTTACCAGTACAGTTTAGAGAGCAAAGTCCAATCAAAACTTGCTTCTGAGGTGATCTGCTGGATCAGTTAAGTTTAAGGCAGAGAGCTCAGCTCAGATGATTCCCAAGGGGAAATACTGATATATTTTCTTGAAGGACACAGGACACTTATGGGGGCTTATTAGGAAGAAGTTTAAGAAAATTGAAAATTACATTGGTGAGAAAAAGACCAGGAAAGTTGTGCCAAATTATTTTTTCCATCATGACAATGCACCTGCTCATTCATAAAGGGTAGCAAGAGCTATCCTAAGAGAATTTCATTGGGAAATTTTATTCCATTTACTCGGCAGCCTTAATCTTGCCACTTTGGCCATATTTTTGTCACCCAAACTCAAAGAGCACTTAAAATGAACACAATTTGAGACCCTCAAGGATGTCCAAACTGCCATATTGATACGGCATAAATGTAATAAGTGTAAAAGCACAGACTACTTTTGGGGGGAAGAGTGCTACAGAGACCCATTCTTCAGAAGTGTATAGACCTAGATGGAAGAAATGTCGAGAACCAAAGGCTTTCTTTACATTTTGATATTTTGTCTAATGAAGTTTCTTTGATTTCATAGCAATATTTTCTATTTACTCAAATATAAATGCTCTGTTCTTAGATTGAGACTTATCAAGGATTTTTTGTCTTCTTATGTAATTGATCCCTTTCTCGTTATGTAATGTCCCTTTTTATCTCTGATAATTTTCCTTGTTCAGAAGTTGGCTTTGTCTGAAATTAAATTGTGGAGTTTTAAAATTAGTATTAGTATTACTATCTACTTTTCCTTAATTTTCATCTGTTTTCTGATTTAAATTGGTGGTGCTGTAGAGGGTATAGCTGTGGCTTGGCAGTATGGCCACAGTTGCTGTCTCTTGTCATGTGATACAAGAAAAAAAAGAAAACAAGCCAACAACAACAACAAAAACAGTCCACACAGCGAAAAATCAAAGTCAGTGGCTGTCTCTCTGCCAATAAGCAGTGTGCTGCACCACCTGCTAGCCTGTTGCCTTCACAGACTCCTGAGAAAGTTCAAAATGCCCATGCTACATCAGGCGGACCCACACTGATCTCCCACCTCCTTTCCTTCATTTGATTTTTTTTCTGCTTTTTTTTCTCTCTTCTCCTAATGAGAGCCAGTTAGGGCTAGTTAGGATCAATGTTGCATATTTGGATGAGAGCCTGCCCTAGTTATGTTATTGTATATAGCACTTCCTTTGGGCTCACAACTTCCTCATGGCTCTAACCCTCTAGAAAGTGGGAGATGCCCTGGGGTTGTAAACTGGTTGAAAAAAAGGGAATAAAATTAAATTAAATTACACTTTTGTCTCCATGAGCCACAGGTCGCTTTCTGCAATATGAATATGTTTTCTCTTCTCTAAAGCTGTTCATGAAGCTCTCAAGATGGCTGCAGCAGGATCTGTCCCACTGCTACTGCTAGTCAGTCACATCCTCTCTTGCCATCTCTATTCAACTTTTTCTCCCAGTAAGCACTTGATCCACTTTTCTATCCCTTCCTGTGGAGTTCAAAGTTCCAGGGCCCTCCTCTATATCCGTCTCTTCCAGTTACCCATATTCTTGCTGCAGAGAGCCTGCACAACCTTTCTTCCTAGTCCACCATATTTCCCTGACATAGTACTGTGCAACTGTCTGTAGGCAACTGTGTGTTCAAGCACAAGGCTGTATACCTGGCTCCTCAGCCTGTGGGCAGGAGGGCATTCTCAAAGGGGCCTAGAGGGAGCAGTTGCACGAGCTCTGCGATGGCAGTACATGTCAACCTTGGATGGAGAGATCAGTCACAGTGGCAGGTTAAATCAGGTTAAATAGGAGGCTGCAAATTACAGGACCCTGGGTATATGGCCAGTGGAAATATTAATTGCAGAGTTCCAGGTCCCAACAAAAGAGTGAGTTTTTCTCTTCAATTCCTTAAATCACTCTACTTTTCTTGAGCATTGCTTCTGAAATATAAGTCTGGATATGTGGTACCTTCTTGTCTTACATCAATTTCTTTATTGTTCCCTTGAGAAAGGTTTGATTTTATACCCCATAAAGTGATCAGGACAATCCTTATCATATTGGGGCAGCTAAAAGATTATTGTAAGCCTATTTAAAGTAACTTTAAGACCAAAGATAGTGAGCTTTAGCTATTAATGTATCAACTGATGTGGCACTGTAGGATAATGCACTGGACCTTGAGTCAGTGGTTTAAACCCACCAGCCACTCCTTGGAAACACTATATAGGGTTGCTGTGAGTTGGAACCAACTCAATGCCACTTAACAACAATATCCTATTAGCTGACAGTATATGTATATATTTTATAAGTACACCTACTCTTCACTTAATAGCCATTTTGTTGTTTGGCATTTCACTTTTATGACAATAGATAAAAATCTACTATTCAACTATTTTGTGCATTAATGACACAAGTCTGGTAATGAACACCAAGATGCAAGGCAAGAAAAATACTGGCTGCAGTGGTTAAAGTTATGTATCAACTTGCCTGGCCATGATTCTCACTGGTTTGGCAGTAATGTGATGATATCCTTGTCCTTTAATATTTATGATCTGTTAATGATCATCCTGCATTTCCCCATAATGCTGGTTTTCACACAATGACTTGTCCTTTGGAACCTAGCCATGTTCATAATTGAGGAATGGTGTAAATACAAATGACTTAGGGTGTGAGAACAATATATTATTTGTGTGATACTTCCAAGGCCTAAGAAAAACTTCACAATACTCATTTTTACATTTGTCTTAACAGCAGACATGATGAGTTTCCAAAAATGTTTTCCTTGTCCCCTGTTTCTAAACCCTTAAGACTGAACAAAAATGTGGTTTTACAGGCATCAGTGTCATTCAGGGATGTGACCGTGGAGTTCACCCAAGAGGAGTGGAAATGCATGAGCCCTGTTCAGAGGACCCTATACAGAGATGTGATGCTGGAGAACTACAGCCTTCTCATCTCAGTGGGTGAGCAGACCTCACAATGTAACTCTGGAATTCAATTCTCTCTGTTCTTGACTGCTACTTTTTTTTATCCTTTTTGTCACTTCCTGTTCTCTCTCTACTAGTATTGGTTTCTAAGGCTTGTCTTAACAAATTGTTACAAACTGGTGGCAAAAAAAAGTAGAAATGTATTCTTCCAGAATTCTATAGACTAGAAGTCCACAATCAGTGTCAGCAAGGCCAAACCCCTCTGAGGGCTCCATGGAAAAATCTACCTTGCCTCTTCCTGATTTCTGGTGATTGACAGCAATCCTTGATGTACCTTGGTTTATAGGTAAATCATTCCAATTTCTGCCCCAGTCTTTAAATGGTGCTGTGCTTTTCTTCATCTCCAAATCATCTTGTTTTTATGTATTAGCTTTAGGGCCTAACCATATGCTGTGTGATCTCATCCTAACTTTATTACATCTCCTAATTTTCAAATAAGGTCACATTCACAGATGTTTTCTGTTATGATTTGAACAGATCCTTATAAGGGATACAGTTCTGTCAACTGAATTGTTGATCAGCTTTTCTCCTTTGTTATTTTATAGATTGTATTGTATCACCCACAAATACGTATCAACTTGATTAGGCATGATTTTCAGTGGTTTGGCAGTTATGTAATGATCCCTCATGTGCTCTTATGAGATAAATCAGTAAGAGGATTGAGAGTGGGATTGTTGTAGTTGTTAAGTTACATCGAGTCGCTTCTGACTCATAGTTACCCTTTGTAGGGTTTCCAAGGAGAATCTGGTGGGTTTGAACTGCCAACCTTGTGGTTTGCTGTCCAATGCTGATCATACAGAGCCAACCTAGAGAGTGGGGTTGTTGTTGTCAGGTGCCATTGAGTTGGAACCGACTCATAGCGACCCCATGCACAGCAGAACGAAACAATGTCCGATCCTGCGCCAACCTCACTAC